TGTTAGAGAGAAAAGGGCAAACGTGGTTTTAGAGGGCGTGATCAAAACAGCGCTGCATGAGCTGATCGCCGGCCTGCAGCCAGCGGCGGGCCGATCGGCTCAGCGCGACCAGGGGAACAACAAGTTTGACCTTTGACCCTCAGAGTCAGTCTGCCGACGCCGAGCTCTGCCATAACATCTGACAGGAGCGCTGGGAGCGGCGTCAGGTCACGAGGTCAGAACAGAGCAGTAAGTGAAGCGTGAGCAGAAGTGCTGTCTTTAATAAAAAGGCGACAGCACCTGCACGCGTATCTGGCTTTCATTTTCGTTCGCTCCTCTTGTGGGCGGGGCTTTTCTTACCTTGTCGAGATGTTTCCCGATAGTCGTGTCGTCTCTTTTTAGAACTTTCCTCATTTCCTGCCCGCCCAGGTACATGGCGTTGGCTGCACGTGGAAACAAACCACAGAGGTTAAAGCTGGTCCGGCTCTCGCTGCAAACTCAACATTTCAAACCTCGGCTGTTCAATCTGAACCGGCTGCAGCCTGCTGGGGGATTCCCATCATGCACTGAGCTCTTTCACTCCCTGTATATTAATATGCAGCCATGCATGTTGTAAATGTAACCCCCCCCTCCACCTTTCAGCAGGCACCTCTGCTGCTGTCAGGGTTTCTCTCCATAATTCTGTCTCTGTGTTATCACATAAAAGCTTCTTATCAAAGACAAATGTCTGCAGTCTGAAAAGCCCTCGCTGCATATCTCACAGAAGAACGAAGCGTGGCCGACCTGCAGCGTCTCCGCTGAGCAGGCCCAGGGTGGGCTGCACCACAGTGAGGTCCAGAGAGCGGATTCCCCCCAGCGTCAGTCTGATGAGGCCGACTTTGAGCCTGTCGGGCAGCAGCGAGAGCAGGAAGAGGGGCAGGTAGACCACGTAACGCATGTGACACAGCACGGGGGTCATGACCTTCCCCTGAGGGCTCTGAGCCATGCGCTCGATGGTGGGAAACAGCAGCAGCGCCTTCAGGACCTGCATTAAAAACAGGAGACAGAAGGTTTCAGACAGACGACAGAAAGACGGGAAGCTGCAAACTGCGGAAACTCCCGGATTAGAGGCAGGGAGATTTTCATGTCATTTAATCCGTTTCCTGAAAAAGTGATGGGAGGGAAGTGAAGGGAGGGCTCAGTGCCCTCAGCCAGGAACTCGCCGGGCGCCATCCGAGCTGGTCACGCGCTCCAGTTTGTGATTCCAACAAACCCCCCCAGAGCGCTCCGCGGTGTAGCAGGTACGCATTCACCTAACAGAGGCTAACAAAGCGTTTGATCCCGGGAGGAGAGAAACGAAGGGCGTGCCAAATCAAACATGTGGCACTCCCGCTGTGAACGACAGCAGCAGGCGAAGGACGAAATAAGCGACAATAAAAACATAAACAGTCTCCGTTTCTGAACGACAGAAACCTCAGAGCGCCCGTCGTATTCCGGGATTAAACGATCCCAATAAGTAAAAACTCATTTGGCTTGTTTTTAGTTTCGTTGTCACACAGATCCTCCGTCCTGCTGATCATGTGATCAGGCTGAGACGACCACGCTTCGCACGGTCATGTCTGAGCTCTGGAGCCTTCCCTACGTCCACCGTCCCTGCATGCTTCACTGTTTGGGTGGAGGCGTGTTGGTGCGTGCTGTAGGCTGTGTGTTTTTGTGGTTTCTCCTCAGACCGGAGAACTGCGAGGACTCACCTTCCTCTCAGGATTTCTCTTCATCATCTCCAGAATGATGTAGCAGCCGATGGAGTGACCGATCAGGACCAGGCTGGTTTCTCTGGGAACGTGATTCCTGAGGAAAGCCAGCTTATGTTCGACCTGCCCGTCCAGACCGAACACGTCGTCCTCCGCCGCCGAGGCGCCGTCTGCAATAGGAACAGAGATGTCAGAACACCCGAACAAGCTGCTCCTCTCTCCTGCGAGCAGCGCCGTGCGTACCTTCGATCATGTCCATGGAGGCCGGAGGAGCGCAGTGGCCGGCGTGGCTTACGGCCCACACCGGGTGCTGGTAGCCACACCTGCTGTGGAGCGTCTGCATGAAGGTCCTGTAGAAGCCCACCACACCTGGGTTACCTGTGACCGACAGCACGAGGTCAGCGAGGCCTGTGGTAACCACGGTAACCGCAAACCTGATCCAGAGCACGTCACAGTCACAGAGTACTGCCCTGTACTACAGTAATACTGCATCTGTACTACGATAATACTGCATCTGTACTACAGTAATACTGCAGCTGTACTACAATAATACTGCAGCTGTACTACAGTAAAACTGCACTGTACGACAGTATTACTGCAGCTGTACTACAGTATTACTGTGTTGTACTGCAGTATTACTGTGTTGTACTGCAGTATTACTGTGGTGTACTGCAGTAATACTGTGCTGTACTGCAGTATTCCTTCAGTACAGGGTATGTCGTGATGTTTGAACTCCTGAGCACAGCTTCCTCCGGAAGTATAAAACACAACAGGTGCTGCTGAGCTGTGGATGTGGGCGGGGCTCACCTGGGATGATGAGGAAGAGCACCTTGTGTGCAGAGGTTAGGGGGCGGGATCCAAACCTGAGCAGCTCCGTGGCGGCTCCGCAGCAGTAGAAGAAGTCTGTGTGTGGTGGGTCCATCATCAGCCCCGAGGACAGACACGCAGGTGTATCACAGGTGTATCAGCAGGTCCAAAGGTTCCAGTCTGATCAAAGGTTCAGACTGAGCGTCACATTCACAGCTGCAGGTGTTCACTCTGCAGGTTTCAGCTGGTCACGTGTCTCACTAACAGCTGATCTGAGATCTGAAAATAAGCTTTAACTTACCTGAAGACCCAATAACTAACTAACCACCACTTAACTAACTAACTATCTATCTATCTAACTAACCAACCACCGTTAACCGCTAACAGACTGCAGACTAAACCGTTCACAGGCTGACGTCACACCGGAAGCTGATACTCTGACACGCTGTAAATAAAACTGTTTACCTGTCAGAACAATTACGAATAAGTACTACGATATCCTCTCCATGCAGGTGCTGCTCGCTTTCAACCGCTTCCTGCTTCGCACTGCTGCACGCTGATTGGCCAGCTGCAACGCAGCTTCTTCTTTTTATTGGCCGGTTCGGTTTCCAGCTCATTACCGCCCCCACGGGCCCGGAGTGTAACTACACCCGCTGTTTACTTTAACGTACCAAATGACCATTATTATTTTATTTTGTTCATTGTTAGTCTTTTTTTATTTTCCTCAGTTTATTATGTAACGAGATTTACCTTTTTGTTTGTCATACTGTGTATTTCAGTTTTTATAAGTCATATTTATCGTCTTGGCTTCTGTAACATATTTATATTCATCCCAGACTTTCAGATGAACATGAAGATAAATATCTCATCTTTAAATTCACATTAAATTGCATAAATGATAGAAATGACTGGCATTAATTTCAAATAAATACAACATGCATGTGCTGAAGTGAATTCGTCCTTTCATTATGATAATAATAAGAAAAATTAACTTTGCACTTTTCCTCTCTGCCATTCATTTTTGCTTTTTATGTCATTTT